AAAAAAAAAAAGATCAGTATGGGGGTGATGCTTTTATTTTATTTCTTAAAAGTTTTTGAAAAGACTTCAAAAATATTTTAAATGCCTTTTTGGGAGCATATTGATCCACAGCATAATATAGTTTCTGTAAGAAATTCTCATTTCTCCTTCCTTGTCTGAATAACTCTTTAAAACGAGCATGGTTTCTGTTTTTAAGCCATTTTGTATTTGACTGGTCAGTTGAAAAAATGTCTGGTATAGTTACTGATATATAAAAAAAGACAAACCTACCATTTGGTTTGTAATCTACAAATACAATGCTAAAGGAAAAAGGGATTTAAGAGAAAAAGTAAACAGCATCAAATTTTCATGCTTTAAAGACATTAGACTTTGGGGGGGTTCCCTTAATTCTTCAGTGTGTTTGTGGGAGAGTCAAGAATGGGTTGACTTGTCCTTTCTGCCCAGAGTTCTTCCTGCAGCAACACCCCATTGCCTTTTTCTCTGGCCCAGTTTTTGACTCAGTTTCGACCCTAGAGAAATGTGTCAGAATTGGCTTATTGCCTGGTCACTTAGGAAACGCAATTTGGACTTCTTGGACTCTCCTACACTCAGATTTAATATTAGCGCTATGGTTTAAAGATTGTGGACAAGCGGCAAAGATTGGCTTCCCTGGCCCGTTCCGGAATAGCGTAATAGTCTAATTGATAGCCTAAAAGTCTAATAGATATTAGACTTTGGTGAGGTTCACTTAATTGTAGTTTTTTTAGCAAAGTTCTTTAAAATAATGAGCTGTTTTTATTGTACTACAGTTTACAAATAGTATTAGCTCTCTCCTTTCCCCTAGCTGTACTTGCTATAAATATAAATAAACAATAAATAGGAAGCACTCGTATGGCCTCCTTTGGATTATGTTGTTTTGGCCTGACATTATCAGAAAAATTTGGATTTATCTTAGAACTTGGGTTTCCATCAGTAATTTATTTCATATTTTTATAAATGTCTTTTTATTGTTAAATTGATTAATACATTGTGACTTTGGTGAGTCTTTGTGTTTTTCTGGACTGTATTTTTTTAAAACAGAATTGCCTTTAGAGCTAAGCTGCTGTAGTAATCATTTGTGAAGAAATAAGATAATTGAAATTTTACTTCATAATTTGTCAAAATAAATTAGTCTTTCAATAGTTCCTAAAATATTATTTATATCTAAGTGTTGATTATATGGTTATGTAACCTGAAGGTTCATTTTGTTATTCTTCAGAATAATAAATGGTGGGTTTGGTGCTTGTTAATTAGTGTTGCGTAAATTCCAGAAGTGTTTTTACCTCTGATGATGGCTAATGCAAGCATCCTGTGTTGAAATGGTACATTACTTGCATTCTGCTAAAATCTACATAAATGTTAATTGTCTCCTTTATTATAAGGGAGACAGAAATAAATGTAGAAAGTTTAAAGGAAGATTAACAGAAGAGTCGGAGCGGAGAGTAGGATAAGCTAAAAGGAAAGAAAGTAAAAGAAAATAATGTTGCTATATAAAACAAGAAAAAAGAAATAGTGTTGGATGTTTTGATAATCATTCTATAATAAACTATATATGAGTTTTGTTAATAAATCTGCAAACAGGAACATTCCAAGATAGTCTATGTCCTAAGGTTCTGCAAGAACTGCAAAGGTGGATTGCTGTGGGTACAGCCCGATACAGCCTTACTGTTAGTGGCCCTGAGCAGCTGAGAGCATACCGGTACAGTGCCTCTTTTGGCTCACCCCCACCCATGCTCTATACCTGTTTTTATTGCAAAGGGCAAAGTGTGCACGTGCAAACAGCGTGCGGTGCCTTGTGCAAGTGCACAGTGCAAGTCAGGCGTGTGTGTGAACAGAACGTGTGAGCGTGCAATCAGCTTACCTGTAGTTACAGTAAGAGCAACCCACCACTGCAGAACTGTTTTGTTTGTTTTGTTTTGTTTTATTAGACATTTATAGG